TGGCTTAGCCTGAAGAATGTGAACTCCCAGGCACGAAAGTTTGGGCTTTTCTCTTTCCTTCTTGCTTTAACGATAGTATCTCCACTGTTCAGGACAGTGCTAAGTAGCTGTAAATAGTAATTAAATAGCTGCTGAATGAACGCAGGTAACATGGGCTCATAGGTGTTCTGAGCGGCATGTGATTTGGCGTCATCTCCCACAGCACACCTTCATTTTATAAAAGTATTTGTGGCCCAAGGTCAACCCGCCTTAGGAGGGGAGACACGCCTACTTAGATCACACAGCACATGCCTGTGTGTATCGCAGAGGCGAGTCTATGCTTCTCTCAGGGCTGTGCAGAGATGCGGCACTGGACTTGCTGTGCTTTCCAGGGGGGGGCCGGGCTGGGTCTTCATGCTGCAGGTCTTTTGAGTGGGAGGGCAGATGCCTCCTTTTTTGATATGTCAATTGTAGAAGGTTCTGCTGAACCACGCCACATGTCCATCAGTGAGGCAGGAAGTCTCTCAGATGACTCCCCAAGACCCCCCACCTCCTGGTGTTCACACACCTGTACGACCCCCTCCCCAGGATGTGGGAAGGACCTGTGACTTGTGTCTAACCAATGGGATGTGGACAAGGTGATGGGACATTTCCACGATTGTCTAGATTGCCACTTCTGCCTCGCTGGCTGACTCTTCCCTGCTGGCTTTGATGCGGCTAGTGACCTCGCTCGGGAGGCCCAGGTGAAAGGAACAAGAGCGGCTTCTGGCCAACAGCCCCCCGGGAGATGAGCACCCCTGTCCAACAGCCCAGAGGGGACTGAATCCTGCCAACAACAACATAAATGGGCTTCGAAGGAAAACGTTCCCCAGTTGCACCCCCAGATAGGACCCAAACCCTGGCCGATATCTAGATGGCAAGCTTGTGAGAGGCTGTGAAGGAGGGAAGCTGCAAAATTCTGCCCGAGTTCCTGATGTGCAGAAATGACGAGGTAATGAGAGTCTTTGCCAATTCACTTAGCCTGTCATTTGATTTCTTCCCTGTTGCAGCGTTTGTACACTGTATTAAATTATCTAGCATGTGTTTCTTTGGTGAACTGGGGAGTCCATGAGGTAGGCAGAGTCTCATTCATCCAGAACTTTGTGGGTGCCTAATCGAGTTTGCTGGGCGAACGCAGCTCCATAGAGCAAGCAAGACCTAGGACCAGTTCGGATTCTGGAGTCACTTGTCTAGGTTGTAAAACGTTATTTCTGCCATGTACTAGCGGCATGATTTAGGTAACTGACCCAGCCTCTCTGAGCCTTGGAACTTATACGTGGGTTTTTGTGATGATTGAACAATGTAATCCATATAAAATGCAGCCCAGAGCTTGGTACATACTAAGCACCCAGCGAAATGTCGGTTACTCTTATTGTTGCTATTTGAAAAAGAGGCATTCTAGGAGCCAGGGAGACAACGACCCCTGTCTGTGTTTTGGCAGGACGGGCTCTGCCTATGCCTCAGTTTCCACATCTATTAAGTGAGGAGAGTTTCCACTGCAAAGTTTCTAGCCATCAAGTTTATTTTTTTTTCTATTTTTGCATAGAACTGGGGTGTATGCCAGAGGTACAGGGCTGGGGGTGGGTGAGAGGATTTACCAGAGACAGAGTGGGGAGCAGAATAGGCGGATCTACTGAAATACACTGCTGAGGGGAGCAGCGGGGAGACAGGAGAGGTCTGCTGCGCCAAGCGGATCATCTCCCTGGCTGGGGATCGAACTCAGGCCATAGCAGTGATAACGCTGAGACCTAACCCTTAGGCCACCCATTAAGTTTCTTTTTTTTTTTTTTAAAGATTTATTTATTTATACAAGCACTGGGTACAGTCAGAAGCGCGGGAGGGTGAGAGAATTCACCAGAGCCAGAGCGGGGAGCAGAGCAGGCAGAAGGACCGAGGTACACTGCTGAGGGGAGCAGCGGGCGGCAGGAGAGGTCTGCGCGCCATGCAGGACCCTCCTCCAGTGACCGGGGAGCAGCCGGGGCTCGAACTGGCGCCGCAGAGGCTGAGGGCAGCTTCGCAACCCAGCGCTCAACCGCTGCGCCACCTGGAAGGCCCCCATTAAGTTTCTTGCCTACTTCCCACCAGCTGTGAGCCAGGCAGGTGGAGTCATCTGTGTATCCGCCCAGCTGTGACAGCATCACTTCCAGTCTCACCAGTTGAGCTTGTTGGGACGCCCTCTGCCCTGGGCCGTGCTGGGAAAAACAAACAGTGAGCACAGAATACCCTTTCCCTGCACTTTAGGAAGCTCTCAGCCCTGGCAACTTTACAATCCCCAACCTCGAGATTGCACCCATTTCCTCCCAGCAAAGTGGATGAGGCCGGCCTAGATTCACGGACCTGGGTTCAAATCCCAGCCCCACCACTTAACTAGCTGCATCACTTGGGTGAGTGACTTATCCTCTCTCGGCCTCACCTGTGATGCAGGAATGTGAGTAGGTGCCTCTTAGCCTCACTCTATCAGTGAGATAATACACATGGGGTTGGGGGGCGGTCAGTGGGAATCTCTGATATGCAGAAGTGATGATACAGGCTCTGTTTGTTCTGTTCAAGTCATTACTATTCCAAGGTAATTGGAGATTACCTTGAGGACGCTGGGGGATCCAGTACTGCCTCAGTTTCTCCTAGGCAGTAGTTTTTCTAAGTAGATTTCCCAAAAGGAGTTTCAGTTTCCTCAAGGTCAAAGTGATCCAGGCAAGGCTTCCCAGATAGGACCCAAACCCCTAGGGGGCTGGCCATCGCGAGCTGGAGAGAAAGCCTTTCCTCGAGAGACCTTCTCTTCCGGGACCAAGCACATTGTAGGTGCAGTTAGAAAACTCATCTCCTTCCTGGATGTTCTGTTGACCAGAACCCAGCAGATTTCCTTCCTGGGCCCTTGTTTCTTGACCTTTTAAATGCCCTGGAGCCAGCCTTTCTGCTGCCAGTGCCCAAGCTCCAGCAGTGGTCAGCAAGGCCCCCCGGCACACCCCTGCCCCGAATCACGATGATGGTTCTGAAACTATAAGGGGAGTTGCTCATTCTCAGCTCAAGGACATGTAAATGGACCTGGGAGAAGATGCAGACATATTTGTTGTTGGTGGTGGTGGTGGTGAGGGTGTGGGGAAGCTGTGGATGCCAAAGTTTGCGAGATGAGATCACCTCCTTTCTCCCACGTACCTGCCCCCTCTGGGGCCCACAAAACAGCCTCATTTAGCCTTTAGCAGTGCAGGCATAAGCCTCTTTGCATAACGCTGGCTGTCCTAGGAGTCATCGCTTGGACCCTTCCTGCATTTTGTAGGTTGTCTGCAGCAGCTTGCAGACCACCAGGGGTGCTAGACATGCGCTGGGATGTGGGTACCTAGGTGGGGGCCATTTATAAAAACTGGGCTTGGAGATCCAGGCATCACAACGGAATCAGTTTGTTTCACTGCCTTCATCAGGCCCTTTAAGCCGAGAATGCCACGAACCAGTTCTCAGAAAGCGAGACTTGAGACTGGAACTCACGCACGACCTGGGAACAGTGGCTCCACGTTCTGTCTCCCCCAGTTGGACAAGTTGAGAATCAGTGCCTGGAAGTCCAGTAATCTGAGTTCCATTTCTGCCCGTTCCACTGAATGTTGTCTGAACGCTGTCACCACCTAGAAAAGGAGGCTATGTCCTTCCCTGAAGGGTGGATGGTTGGTTAAATGAGGTCATGTGCATTAAGTTCCTTGCCAAGTGCCTGCCACAAATGTCTGCAAAAGGTGGCTGCTAAGATTGCATCACTATCATCTCAATCATTATCCTCAATCATTTCTATTAACTATTTAATATTATTATTAATCTTCTTAAGGTAATGACTGTGGCTGGGCCCATCTGAGGAGCAAACACAGGCCCCTTCACTGCTGTGAGGTTACCCGGGTCAGTGACTGGATAAACCAGTGCTGCTTGGGCACCAGAACCAGGTTGCAGGAAGACGGTGCTGACGTGAGCGGGGCCAGTGGCCTGTTGCCCAGACTCAGTCTAATTACCCCTGGCAGCCCCTCCTCCCTGCAGCGCCACCCACAGGAGGGCAGGTCACGTTGCTGTCTTTGAGAACACTGTGTCGTCCTCAGAGTCCAGCAATGTTCTCCCCATCCCGCCCCACCTGCTGCACTTCGGCTAAGCTCTCAGTTGGGCAAGCGAGGGGTGTAGGGCAGAGGATGGCCGTGGGTAGACTTTGTAGCGGGGAAGAAGTCACCGAGCTCCTGGAAGCCACTTCTGCATCAGAAATAGAATGATCAGGAATGTTCAGCTGTTGGTGGGTCACTTTGACCTCCTCCCAGGTCAGGCCACACATGTGCTTCTCCTGGCCTCGCCCACTAGCAGAAAGGAGGTGCCAGACACACGCCCTCTCCTGACTCTGGCTTGTGTGCAAAGCTCCAGCTCTGCTCACTGGTCTCTCCCCACACATGTGCTCAGTTTCTCTCTCCTTGCTTCGGGGTGAGCTCCACGGAGACGCAGGCTGCCCCACCATGCACGCGGCTACGCCAAGCACGAAGGGAGCAGACTGCTGCCAGGGGTGCGGCAGCCAACGACAGGGACCGGCACATCCCCAGGGCTCCTGGTGTAGTTCTTGTCCCATCCCCGCTGGGCCACCCGACTGCCCCATGGGCCCCCCAGCTGGTGACTGAGAGAGGACACTGAGGCTGATTTGTCCTGGCGTGACATCCTCTTTCTGCCAGCGACTTTGCCATGGGACTCCCCTAAGGTCTTGCTGACCCTCCTTAGACTGCGTGGTGGTCTAGATGCTTCTACCTGGTGGCTTCCATCCCTCTTTCCTCCACTCCAGGCAGATTCTCAAAGTCTGTCTCTGTCCGAGACCCTCCCCCCAATAAACCCCTTCGTTCACGAGCCTGCTTTGGTGGCTGCTTCTTGGAGGCCCCGGACTTACACCCACACAGTGTCCCAGCCCCAGGGCTCCTGGGGACACAGCATCTGGGTGGGGGTCAGGGGGCAGGGATTGAGACTTGGGTGGAATACTTGGCTTTTATTAAGTTCTTTGCCTGCTATCATGGAAAGACCAGCTCCCTCTAGCTTTCTCCAGGCGAGAGGAATGGTTTGAAGGGGTATCTCAAGGCTCCCCGGAGGCCCCTCTGAAAAAGCAAACTAGCCCGGTCTTGGCTCCTTGTCACACCATGTGTGGGCTGGCTCACTCTCTCTGACGCTCGTGTTCCTCACCAGTGAAGTGGGGTGAAGTCCCCCCTCCTACGAGGGTTGTAAGGAGCATGAATTGGAGCAGGAGTGTAATTCTCTGTTCTGAGAAACAGGAAATTCCCAATATATGATGGCAATTTAGGGTCCCAGCTCCTGTGCTCATTCACATTTTATTTTTTGAAGCTAAGAATAGGTTGAGTTTGATGGCAAAGTCTTCTCAAATTTCCAGAACCCTTCAAGTCCCTAGAAATATCGTCACAGGTAGGAGCTGACAAAGCTTCGGTTCACATCCTGAGCTGCTCACATTCTGCAGCTATTGCTTTGAGGAATGCATCTCCGTGCCTCGATTTATCTGTAAAATGGGGCTAATAATAGAACCTACCTCATAAAGTTGTTGGAGGATCCACGAGGTGGCGAATACAAAGGGCTTAGTCCAACACCCGGAACATACTAAGGTCTTAGTAAGGAACAGTCACATCTACATTCATTGTTGTCAGCGCTGTGAGTAAACCTCTAAGCCTAAGGCAGCCCGGACCCCTGGACAGGACCATCTGAGTCCATGGGTGGATATTGGCTGATCTGGGACAAGTTAATCCAAGTTTGATTCAGTTTCCTGACTATTTTTTGCCCTTATCATCTTAGCGGATAAACGTGGGTGAAACATGCCCTGCTCTCGGGTGCTCACCTGCGGGATCTGCCCCTTGCCGCATGGTCTTTATCTGTATGACAGGAACATATGCTCAGTCCAGGCACCCGAGGGTGATCAGTGAGGGGCTCTGAAAAAATGAATGAGACCCATTCAGCCACAGGAGCTCAGGTTTTGAGTAGCAGGAAGGTTTTGAGTAGTAGGAAGACTGGGACTTAGGGTGTCCAGGGACTGTGGCTGAGGGTTTAAAACAGGTCAAGACCAACTTCACCTACTCACCAGTCTGTGAGCGTGGGTAGGTACATGCCCACCCTTGTTTCTCCTCTCTGTAAAATGGGGCTGGGGTCCACAGAGAGTTGTTATGGTGATGCAGACGCTGCGTGTCGTATCTAGCACACAAGATATGCCCAGTAACACCTGTTTATATTAATGTCCAAGTTCTGCTTTTTTCCTGTCTTGAATGTGGATCTGATCGTAGGAGCTACGGCAGCCATTTTGTCCAAACCTTGGTCAAGACACGGTTGAGTTGCTGAGGTAGAACACAGAGCTTACTACTTCCAGAATTCTTGTTATGTAATAAAAGTGAACTCCTGCTAATTTAAGGTGATATGGTGCGTTACTACTGGATAAAAAGATGTTTCCAAACCCTTCCCTTGCATGCAAAATTAAATCCCAATATTTATAGGTTTCAAGGGACCCAATTCCCCTCCTCTCAAAGACTTTAAGATCTTTTTATTTTCTGTGCCACAATCAAACATTGCTGCACCCATTTAAAAGATGATAACACAGAGGAATGAGGGACCGAGATTCTCCATTCACAAATTCAAAGCGGATCTGAGATCTTTGAAGCACACACTGCGGCTTCCACTCAAAGACCACATGCTGTCTGTCGCTGGCTTAACACACCATCCGTATCCCTTGGAAGGATGAAAGGGCCACGTTGATGCTGCCAGAAGCCCAGACAGGGGTTCCAGGGAGGCTCGAGGGTTGAAATCCAACCCTTAAGGCTTCCATTCTGTTCTTCTAGCTTGGAAATTTATACCACAGCTTTGAAATTCTGGAATCTATTGAACAGTGATTTGCCACTGTAAGAGGTGCTTATGTTGCCTGCACCATCACTGAGGCTGGCAGATACTACCCTGGGCCTCCAAACTGCTCCAATTGTGATTATTATCTGTGAGTACACATCCATCCCCGTGCAAGGCACACTGCATTGAGAGAGTGTTGTTGAAAGCAAGGGGATAGGAAAGAAGGCTTACCAGGAAATGTCAAGATATTTTCTTCCCCGAAGGAAACCACCAAGTCATCAATTCCAAATGTTGAATACAGTGGAGCTTTCTCTAACAAAGAGGCTGACTTATATCCAGCCTTTCAAGCCCGATTCCTTTATGCATTTTCAGCATCTTTTCACTTAGTCAAAACCCATTTTAACTCAATTTTGTTAGCTATAAATATCTTGGTCCAAATCCTAATCCTGTCATCGTAAGACACTTTGTTTTCAGAGTTGTGATTTCCCTTTGTTTTTTATCCAAGTCTTTATTTGTTTTTTATTTCAATGAAGATGACTCTTACGTTGCTCTTTCCCCAGACATCTTTAGTCATTCCATTTCTCTTTTGTACTATTTCCAGAAGCTTCCTGTCCTTTATAGTCATTAAAAAATAGCTAATTCTAATATACTCTTTACCATATGTCAGGCATTGTTGGCATTGCTTTCTATATACTAATTCATTTAATCCCCACCACATTCTATGGGGTAAATAATAATTCTATAGAATTATTTAGCCTCATTTTACAGAAGAGGAAACTGAAGCACAGAGAGGTTGATGAACTCACCCAATGACACCCAGCAAGTAAGAGATCAGGTCAATTCAAATCCGGCAGTCTTGTGGCAGCTGATGACAATAATGACAGCAGCTAGCATTTTTTGAGCACTTAATCTATATCAGATGCTGTGAAGCCCTTTTTACACACTTTCTCCTTCCATCACCCCTATAATCTTATGAGGCACTAGTGATTATTGCCACCATTTTATACATGAGGAACTGGGGCCTGGATAAACCCCCTGGCCTGCTCACTTTCACTGCTGGCTCTCACCTGGAGTCCTCTCCCTCCACCCTCACCTCTTCATCTGGCTCACTGCTCTCCTCTGGGGACCCTTCCATGGAACCCCCCACCCCTGTCTGATTGAGACGCCAATTTCTTCATCTATTTCCCCTAGCAGATTGAATTCTTCCTACGATCTATGTTCCTAGTAAAGCAAGTCTTAGAAACACCAAAAAACAGAAAGTAAGGGAATGAAAAACTCCCAACTCCCTAATAACACCTAGGTAGCTCTCCTCCTTTTAAAATTCATATCTAACCTAAATACATCACACAAAACTGTTTTAATCATTTCTGTGTACCCAGTTTAGTGACATTAAATATATTTACAATATTGTACAACCATTTCTACTACCCATTTTCATAACCTTTGCAGATTCAGAGGTGAAAAACTCTGCACCCAGCAAACAAAAAATAATCCCACCTCTCCTCAGCCCCTCTGGAGGTTAGCCTCTATTCTACTTTCTGTTTCCATGGATTTGCTGGCTCTAGGCACCTCATATAAGTGGAATCTGGCCAAATCTGTCCTTTGGTGAGTGCCTTCTTTCTCTGAGCAGTATTTTCAAGTCCATGGTATCCTAGGTGTCAACACATCCTTCCTTTTTCCAGGCTGTGTGATACTCCATGACAGGCCACAGGAGGGTTCTGATTTCTCTGTATTCTAGCCAACACTTGCTACTTTTTTGTTTTGTACCTTCGGGCAATAGTCATCTTAGGAGGTGGGAAGTGGTCTCTCATGGTAGATTTGATTGATATTTCCCAGTGACTAAGTATATGTGTACAGGAGTCTTGGACTGTCATTTAAAAATTTTCTGTAAATTGAGGTATAATTTTAAAACAGTTGAATTTACCCACTTTAGTGGATAGTTCTGTGACCAATGCATCTCGTCAGATATCCACCCATATCAGTTTCCTGGGACTGTGGCCCAACAAACTGGTAGCTCAAACAACAGAAATATGTTCTCTCCCAGTTCTGGCAGCCAGAAGTTGAAATCAGGACATCAGCAAAGCTTGCTCCCTCCAAAGGCTCCAGGGAAGCGTCCCTGCCTCTCCCAGCCCCAGGCCTGCCTGGCTTCATGTCTATCCCTCTCCTGCCCCCTCCGAGGACTCTCACGTGGACTCAGGGCCCACCTTGCCCATCTTGATTTTACCTGAATTACAGCTGCAAAGGCCCTACGTCCAAAAATGCCGTGGTCACGGGTCCTGTGGGTTAGGACTTGGGTATGTCTCTTCTTGGGGGGCCTACAGTTCAGCCCCCTATCTAGCTCCACTATAGAGATTTGACCCATTCCATCACTCTGCCCTCAAATTCTGTTATTTTTCTTTTAATTTAAAAAAATCCAACTGCAGCCGGAGCGTATCTGCTCTTTCGTAATCTGCCTTGTGAGATGAGAGATTGCACATGCCTCTCCCCTGTCAATAAATCCAGATCAAAGTGTCCCATCATCACCCAAAATAAATGCGTATAAGAAATGCGAGTTTCCTGAAGGTCTAGCTTACGTCACACTGTACTGGACTTGACCCCTGGGGCCTAGCCTCATGCCTGCCCCGTCGTGGGTGCCTGAGCCACGTGGGTGGGGTGAGTAAATGAAGGCCTGGCCTTCCAGGGCGGTGGGCTCTCATTGTTCCCAGCCCCCTGCCCTTTGTAGGTGCAATTTGCATTGTCCAGTCCTGCGTCGAACCAAGAGGACTTGCTCTCTTGGCTTTGCTGGAAACCTCCAGAGACTTTGAAGCTGACTGCCTGGGAGATCAGAGGTGCGTTTCTCCCCACTGTGGGCTCTCCCCCCTCGAAGGCTTTCATTCCAGAGAGGGCTAAGTCAACTCTCTCCTGGTTTTATAAGCTGATAGAACAGGGCTGTCAAATGCTTTTTATGGGAGAAGAAACAGGAAGATGGTTTGTTTTGCAGACAGCGGGTTATTGGGTAATTACATTTTTATAGAGCTGTTGTGGGACAAATCACGGCCCTGCTGTCTCCTTTGATGCTAAAAGGCAGACGGCCCCATAAAGATCAGAACAAGGGAAGGTGAAAAGGGTCAGGGACAGAGCTGCCCCTTGGGGGTCAGCTTCTGCCTGGAATACCACACCCCCACCCTGTCCTAGGTGCCCCTTCGGGAAATGCCCTCCTCCTGTTGCCACATGTTTTGGCTGGAGCCGTGTCCGTGCCAACCTCCCCTACCTCTTTCTCTGACTGCAAGGAGACAAAAGGAGAAGCAGGGGAATAGGATTAACGGCCGGGACCACCCAGGGCACCGTCCCTGCTCATTCTCATTCTGTCACTTACTTGTTCACTCATTCATTCTTTCGCTCACTCATTCACTATTGAGCACGCGCATTCACTTATTCACTCATGCATTCATTTATTCACGGATTCATTCTTCCACTCACTCATTCAGTCACTTACTCATTTATTCACTCTTTCACGCCCACATTAAGGTCTCTGGACTTTCCAGGAGAGGTGTGCTCATGTACGTTTCCTGAGGGTCCATTTATTTATTCACTAAACACATAAATTGAAGGCCTACTGTGTGTCATGTATCGTGTGCCACATGGTGAGTGGGAAGAATGGCAGTGGACAGTTGCTCCTATATAAAGTGTGAAATGCCTCTGAGATAAGCACTGGCCCTGTGCAATTTGGGGTGGGGTGGATACAGGAAAGCCCTTAACAAGGCACCTGAACTTGTCAGAGTTGTTGGAGAGGCTTTCCTGGTGAGTGGGGGTATAAAAGGTGAGGAGGTTGCTCAGGCCAAGGGATGATGCTGCTGGTGGTGGTGCTGGTCATGGTGGTGATGGTGATGGTGATGGTGTTGGTGTTGGTGGCGCTGGTGCTGGTACTGGTGATGGTGGAGGCAGCAGTGATGGTGATGGTGCTGGTGTTGGTGGTGGTGATGACGGTGGTGGTGGTGGTGATAGTGGTAGTGGGGTATGATGCAGGGAGAAGTAAGAAACCCCCACGCAGGCTCCAGGGAAGGAGAGAGCATGACCTTTTCAAGGAAAGAGAGCAGCCCCATCCAACCCAGCCTGGATCTCAGAGAAGCCCATCCGGGGTGCACTGCCGGGAGCTGTGGCCAGGAAATCCCTTGCAGACCTTGTCTTGGCTGCGTTTCAGAGACAACCTCCCTTAACAGAAACAAACGCACGGCTGGGCCATCGCAGCCCTAGCCATAAATTCCGAGAAAGCCAGTGGGCACAGTGTGGGGAAAGCCCAGGTGGAGAGGCCTTTCTTTCTGCCCTGAGAGTTTCTAGAAAACTGTTCATTACTCTTCCTTTTCCCGAGAGGCTTGGAACCAGACTGAATGCCTGGGTTTTTACTGGTCCCATCTGGAGATAAGTGTTTCAAATCAAGCTTCCCCGCAACCTTTAAAAGATGGCTGCCTCCGTGTGGGCAGGAGCCCCCACCCCTGCTGATTTCCTGCTGCAGAGACAAGTACCTTAATAAATGACTAT